AAAATTCTTTAGAATCTTTATCCACAAATAATTTATCAAGAAACAAACTCTTGAATATATTATTCAATGTTTAAAATTATTAAGTCAATAAGCCATTTCAATAAATAATAATTATAAAATAAATCAAATAATATGTACCATTAAGTTAATAATCAAATAATATGTACCATTAAGTTAATAAGTTATAATTAATAATTACAGATGTCTGATGAAGAACTTGAGGGAAAAACCTATTGACCTAGAGATTAGAGGTTAGGAAAAGAGATTAGAAAAATAGAGATTAAAGAATGAGAAAAGAAATTAGGGATTGAATTATGAAAATATCATAGTAATGAAAGATTATGATGATGTTTCGTTCTTGTGAGTGTATGGTTACTGCAATACTGTTCTAGCATTATAATCTCCTATAATATATGTATATAATTTTTTTTTTATTTTTTTTTATTTTTACAATTGAGCCTTTAAATTTTAGGGGCCCAATTGAAGGAAAAAAAAAAAAAATTCTATGTATATATGCAATATACTATACAATAGGTTATATAATATATGTATATAATTTAATTTTAGTTTTTTAATAATTGACCCCCCAAATTTTGGGGGCCAAATTGTTAAAAAAAAAAAAAAATGTATATATACTATACATGTGCTGTATAATATATATACATATTATGCACGATGGGGTCCCCAAATTTTGGGGGCCCTGGGTAAACATGCCTAGGGCCGGCCCTGGAAATAAAGGAGTAGTCAAAGAAACCCCGATGTTGAGAGGTCTTGGTTTCAAACTATAGACCTATACTAGGTCCAAACACACCTTTGCCAACCCATCTAACTTACCTTAATTTCTTTTACTTTCACCAGTTTTCAAATATCTATATGAAAAACATGTACTATATATACATAATTACATATATACATACAAGGGCTATATATGGGGTGTGGGTGGAGTGAGTTGGGGCAGCTGCCCTCACTGTTCCCATGCTGAATGCGTCCCTGCACGTTGGGTGAGGAGTGATTCACTGCAATCTGGTAAGTTTTCAATGTTCAAAATTTTTAATTTGTAAAATATTTGTGTTTATATTTCCTCTTATTCGCAGATGAATTGATGAGATGAGCAGATTAGGGTCCGTCTCTGGCAATTTTGAGGGTTTTTTTTTGATTAATTTTTTGACATTATATTATTTATTAGAATTTTACTTTTTTATGTTGTTTTGCAAAAGAAATTTATTTATATTAGATGTGTAATAGGACTATAAAATTGTGTTAAATTATCGAGATATTTATTTAAACAGATGACAAAGAAAATCTAATCGCAAGGTATTATTGGCAGATCAAATATTTTTCAAATAACAAATTATACGATTGGTAAGTTCTTATTGCTAATAACATATATAGAAAGTTATAATCTCAATTAATTTTATAGCAAATCGAGTTCTAATTTTTGGCCACCAAATTTGCAATATATTTTGTTACGCAATATAGATCACTCATTGGGTTTATGTAATGGTACGAGATTAGTCATTACAATATTGTACAAGCATGTTATTGAGGCTAAAATAATGACGAGTGACAATGTCGGGAGTTCAGTGTTGATACCAAGAATGTCATGACTCCATCGGATACAAGATTGCCTTTCAAATTTTAAAGGAGACAATTCCCATTAATACTGTCATATGCAATGACAATAAATAAAAGTCAAGGTCAGACACTATCTCATGTTGGGTTGCTCTTGAAGAAATCAGTGTTTGTACATGACCAATTGTATGTTGTTGCATCTAGAGTTAGCAATCTTAAAGGTCTAAAGATTCTAATTTGTAATGAGCTTAACAAGAGTTGTATTTCAACAACTAATGTTGTGTACCATGAAGTTTTCAATAATTTGTAAATAAAATACCAATTTACAATTTAATCATTTCTTTATGTGTAAATTGCAATATACTTGAATCAGTGTTTAACATGTAATATGTGTATTTTATTACATAACATATTGCACAATTATTTACTTTGGTACAATAACAACATATAAAATTAAAATATAATTTATTGACCGTGTATCGCACGGGTACCTTTGCAGTTCAAAAACCCAGATCTGTACTCAGATCCGACACGCATGGTTTCATTCTTGCCTATAAGAAATACATGACATATAATATAGAAATTAATTTCAACAAACTTTAGGATTTTGTAGAAATGGAGTTGAAAGATGAATCCCATAATCGAAACTATTTTGAAACACCTTGAATCGCCCAGAAATTTCTCCTTAAACCTATATGAACAACGATCGGTGTTCAAAATCGAAGAAATGGAATATCAATTTCTTGCGCGACAGAGCTTCGAATAGCACTTCTCCGACCCATAAATGTGTCTGAAAAAGTGAAAAGTCAACTTGCTTGCAAGTAGAAATGCAGAAGAATGAGAGCAGAGGTGGCGTGGTTTCTATATACTTAAAATCCTTATAACATTATATTTTATAAGTTATATTGTATACAAAATTAAGTTCGTTCTAATATTTATTGAAATCATATAATTAGATACATTACTAATGTTGTATATCATGATGTTTTCAATAATTTGTAATTTTGATAAATTTTCTTTTTTTAATACCATAACATTAATTGCAACTATTTGTAATATACCAATTATATATTATTTTTGTAGAATTTCCACACATATTTCATTTATATGTTATAAATTATAACAACATTATTTCACACAATTTATAATATAACAACCACACAATTAATACTTTTTAATTTACATACCGTGCATCGCACGGGTCAATTACTAGTATATATATATATAGGAAAAAGTTCTGACGCAAACCTGAGTTAATGCAATCGTTATGCGTTGGACTCGTGTCCAGCATGCTTGCTGGACACGGGTAACAGTGCCGTTAGGCACTGTTATCTCCTTTTTTTTTTTTTTTTTTTTTTTAATTTTTTTTTTTAATTTCAGACCGCTTCATTGTAATAGTATATGTTCATAATTTTATTACTATATGTTAATAACTATACATTCATAACTCCATAACTGTACGTTCATAACTCTATAACTGTACATTCATAACTTCATAACTGTACATTCATAACTCCATAACTGTATATTCATAACTCCATAATTGTACATTCATAATTTTCGAAGCTCTATGTTCACAATTTTAGAGCTCTATGTTCATAATTTTATCACTATATGTTCATAATTGTAAGTTCATAATGTTAGAGCTCTTTGTTCATAATTCGATCAATAACTGTACATTCATAATTCCATACTGTAGATTCATAATCTCATAACTGTAGATTCATAACTCCATAACTGTAGATTCATAACTCTATAACTGTACATTCATAACTCCATAACTGTACATTCATAATCTTCGAAGCTCTATATTCACAATTTTAAAGCTCCATGGTCATAATTTTATCACTATATATGTTCATAATTGTAAGTTCATAATGTTAGAGCTCGGTGTTCATAATTTCATAATTGTATAACTGTATATTCATAACGGCATAACTGTACATTCAAAACGGCATAACTATACATTCATAATCAAAAAAAAAAATAACGCCGTTAACGGCAAAACGCGCGCGAATTTTTTTTTTTTAACTAAATGACGCGTTTTTTTTAAAAAACGACGTCGTTTTGGGCCCGTGTCCACAATTCAATGTGGACACGGGTCCAGGGCATAATTTGCCGAGTTAATGTGTGCACGTGTGAACTCTTTCTGCAATCGTTATGCCTTCGACCCGTGTCCAGCATGCTTGCTGGACACGGGTAACAGTGCCGTTAGGCACTGTTATCTCCTTTTTTTTTTTATTTATTTATTTTTTTAAATTTCAGATCACTTTGTTATAGAAGTATATGTTCATAATTTTATTACTATATGTTAATAACTATACATTCATAACTCCATAACTGTACGTTCATAACTCTATAACTGTACATTCATAACTCTATAACTGTACATTCATAACGTCATAATTGTACATTCATAACTCCATAATTGTACATTCATAATTTTCGAAGCTCTATGTTCACAATTTTAGAGCTCTATGTTCATAATTTTATCACTATATGTTCACAATTGTAAGTTCATAATGTTAGAGCTCTTTGTTCATAATTCGATCAATAACTGTACATTCATAATTCCATAACTGTAGATTCATAATCTCATAACTGTAGATTCATAACTCTATAACTGTACATTCATAATCTTCGAAGCTCTATATTCACAATTTTAAAGCTCCATGGTCATAATTTTATCACTATATATGTTCATAATTGTAAGTTCATAATGTTAGAGCTCTGTGTTCATAATTTCATAATTGCATAACTGTACATTCATAACGGCATAACTGTACATTCATAATCAAAAAAAAAATAACGCCGTTAACGGCAAAACACGCGCGAAATTTTTTTTTTTTTTTAACTAAATGACGCGTTTTTTTTAAAAAACGACGTCGTTTTGGGCCCGTGTCCACAATTCAATGTGGACACGGGTCCAGAGCATAATTTGCCCTCTTTCTGGCCGTGGGCAAATTATTGTATGGACCATGGTCCACACAATGTTATGTGCACCATAATAAAAAGTACATTTTTAATATACTAAATGTACATTATTTTTGTACTGAATGTACATTATGTAATATAATGTACACTCAGAACAAAAATAATGTACATCCCCTGTATACAATGTACATTATTTTTGTACTGAATGTACATTATTTTTATACTGAATGTACATTATTTTACAGTAAATAAAAAATAGTCCACACAACTTGTATGAACCATGGTCCACACAATAATGATTGCTGGCCGTGTGATTGGGCTGATCAGTGGTGGCCAGTGCGATTGGGCTGATCAGTGGCACCAAATTAGTGTGTACGGTGTCCTGGTGCACCCGCGCACACCGTTCATTTGTGAAATTGTGTGTGGGGAGATTGAGTGAGGGTTTTTCTGTAATTTTCCAAGGCAATTTTGTTGTGCGGGATTTGTGTGTTTCTTTTCCGCCCTTTGGTGTCCGCTCTTCACTGTCTAGCTGTCGTTCTCGCCGGGGAGGAGGTGCGCTTGTCAATGGCTCGGTCAGGTGGCAGTCGCTGTTAGAAGAGGGGTAGGTCCGGCAGATCGTTCTCGCCGACGACTCCGCCGTTGGGTGCTTCGCACAGAGTCGCGGAGGCATCACGAGGGTTGCGGGATTGCATCGAGGGTTTCTGCTCGGCGGCGGATCGCGAATCAGTGGGGTATGCGAGGTTTGTGCCGGGTTCTATGGTTTTTATGCTTATGCATTCATCATTATGATTTTGAAAATTGGGTTTTTGGTTGTATGTGACAGTGTCGTTGCTGTTAGGAATCACATTTTAGGAAAATCTGCAATTTGTGGTTGTTTTCTTTTCTGTAGATCATGTCTAATAGAGATGACAGTAGTATCTGAATTTGGATACCTATTTACTTGAAGCATTCACAAACAAGACAGTTATCTAGACCACAGTGCCTGATAAAAGTTTGGCCTTAAATTCACATGCTTAAACGATACTAAAATTGGAACTACATAAAATTTAATCAATGTGGCAAGGTAACATAACTCATTTCCTGATTCCTATATAAGGCTACAAAATGAACTGATAAGCTTTGGAGTACAGAAGGGATAAAACATACAGAATGTAAAAGAATCTTGGCACGGATAGAGAATTTAACAAAAACCTGATTCAGCCAGGAAGTAGTAGGACTCGTAGTAATACAGGTTGACACTACCGGACTGCGCTTTTTTTTTTTTTTTTCCATAGAGCAGTAAATGCTGGATTATTAATCCCCAGGAATGTACCATGTCTGGTTTTTTTTTTTTGGGTCATGGTGTGGATTATTAATCCTCAGTGGTTAGCATACTGGGTTGTTTTGCACATGTAGTCATATTATGCCCCAGTATATACAAGACAAACAAGTTCATTACGGGAAAAAGCTTTCATGAATTAACATTGTGCTCTACAGTATATAACCCCCGATTAGTTAGTGTCTGTAGTGCATTACATTATGCAATCCTGGGTGCACTACGCGCTGTTCGGCCTAGTGGTATGATTTACAATTTTTGTATTTTGATAGACACTACCGGAATGTTCTGTTTTGTTTTTTTTTTTGTTTTTTGTTTGTTTTTTTTACCATAGAGCAGTAAGTGCTCACATTGACGTGCTTTTGGTGGATGGTAATACATGGCTCATATATCTTATACTTATCATGTGATATGGAATGGCGTGGCTCATAAGTCATACTTATCGGGTGATACTGTTTTTATCAAAATCATACCTTTATATCATGTGTTATACCTACAGGGGGAAACCGAGCTCCATGTGACAATGTTTTCCTGTAAAAAATCTGGTAGGAATGAAGTTGTATTTGAGCATGCCTCCCGCAAAGCCAGATGGTCGGACTTTGAAGGAGGGGACGAATGTTTCTAGAGTAATAGTTGATGCGTGGTGTTCAGTGCTCAATGCGAGGGAGCAACCTAGGAGATGGTGGGGGGTGCCTACTCGCCTGTTTGTCTCGACGGCCGCTACGGTATGTATCTGTAAAAAACTCGGCCGGTACATGTTTTTGTGCATTCCAGCAATGCATTAAACCCTGAAAGCTTTAATTGTTAAATTAGTCACCAACAGTAAATTTTGGAAAATAAAACCAGCAACTTTAATGGTAGTAGTGTTCAATAACACCCTTAGGATCATTAAAACTTTTACATGTAGTGCATCGTATGTAGTGTCAGGTGTCAGCTGTTAGTCATCAAAAAGAAAATCATCAACTGCACAGTACACCAAACGTAGGGCACTACAGAGTACAAAACTAGGTGCATAACCACTATAAGTTCAACAAAACATTTAGCATCTACTTTTAAGTTCTGGTCCTCTGTTTGTATTTGCATTTTTTTTTTTTTTTTTTTACTGTTTGTGTTAGTGAGTAGTGCATTAGAATTCTCATTTTTATACATTACTGGCTAGCTGTGCATTCTGTTGGGTATCAACATCAAGACTGGTAATGTACGCACTTATACTTGATGCAATCCTACTCCTAATGCATTAGATGCACTAAATTTCAGGGCAGCGAGTTGCATTCGTACTCCTAATACATTAGAGTAAATCTCATTGGATCTGTTCACACTGTTCAGCCTTTAGTTATTTTATTTTTGTCTTTCCATATTTTACATCTTTAGCTCCCCCTTCTGGTTTGATAAGATATCAGCTGAACCAATGCTCTGTAAAATGCTGGGTGGATGACATTTGAGTGGGTAGATGTTTTTGTACCAAGAATCTATTTGTATTATGTGTCTTTATTGGTTGCATATATTGTATTAAAGAGATTATGCTTGTTATTAAAATCACTCTAGCAGTAGATTTGATACCTTTGGGAGAAAACTTAAAAAGCTGTTGCCTCTTTTTTTTTTTTTTTTTTCCCCCTCAGACCATTACTTTTCTTTTAATTGATGTGAAAATATTGGTGTCAAATGTCAATTATTTGGCATTCTTTCTGTGATGTAGTTTTTGTTTATTTGACATTGATATTTGACTTTTATTTCAATAAACCTTGACACTTTTACACCAATAATTTGGATAGGCTCCAATTAAAATAAAAAATAGGGGGAGCAACGGTGTGCACTCCAGTGCATTGCGCAATGGAGCTACTTCAACGACTAAATCTTTATTCATAATACTTAATCCTAATCTCTCACACCTGTCAGTTTTGTTGTTCTCACGATTCAGCCTTTTTGGTGTACATCACCTGCTAGCGGCGTTCTTAGAGAACACCACCAACCAGCATATCCGTGCAATACACATTCGCAACGTGCATCCGAAAATAATGTAAATGCATTGGCGGGACTAGGGATGGCAATGGGGCGTGGGCGGGGAGTATACTCCCTGTCCCCATCCCCGACGAGGAGTTCAAATTAATCCCCATTCCCGTCCCTGCTGGGAATTAGGCGGGGACAGGGAATCCCTGTTCGCGATTAATTTTTAGTTAAAATCTTAAAGAGTTAATACTCAAAATTGTTCTCGACTATAGTGGTTTTTCTCAATTTCGTCCTAAATGACTTTGGTGACCTAATATCGTCCCAGACTTTTGTGTTTCGCTCAATTTAGTCCCAGACTTTTGTGGTTTTGCTCAATTTAGTCCCTCATTTGTTATTTTGTCCATTTGTTGTTAAATAAATAGACAATTCAGTAATTTTAATATTGGCATCTCTTTACTCATAGACATGTGAACTGCGAAATCCGTTTTTTTTTTTTTTTTTTTTTTTTTTTACGAATTACTCTTAAAAATGCGAATATAAAATTTGATTTGCTTGTCCGGGAGTAATTCTGGGTGTAATTCGTACAAGAAAGAGGAATTTCGCACTTCACATGTTGAAAGTAAAAGAGATCAATATTGACATTACTGAATTGTCCCTTTATTTAACACCAATTTGATGAAATAACAAATGGAGGACTAAATTGAGCGAAACACAAAAGTCTGGGACGATATTAGGTCACCAAAGTCGTTTAGGACGAAATTGAGAAAAACCACTATAGTCGGGGGCGATTTTGGGTATTAACTCAAATCTTAAATTAGTGTAATTTTTAATTTTAAAAATTAAAAATTTACATCTTAATTGTAAAAAATTAATGTGTGTGTGTATATATATATATATATATATATATATATATATATATATATATATATATATATATATATTTTGGATCCGGTGAGGTTACCTTTGTCAGGCGAGGTGGTGAGGCTTGATCTGGTGCGTTTATTTGGGTTTTTAGATGGATTAGATTTGGCTGAATATAATGCCTTGTGCGTCTGATTTATTTGCATGTGGGAGTGTTGTTGTCTTTTTGGTAGTGTTTTAATTAGGGTGTAATAATTAATTAGCAGATTTTATGGGCTTGTGCACTACTTAATTATGGTATTGTATCGGGTGTGTGCAATTTGTTTTCTCGTGTGTGCATTTCTCTTCAATTCTTTATTATGCTGTGTGTGCAATTTGTTTTCCCGTGTGTGCGTTTGGCTTAAAATCTTTGTTATGACGGGTATGATCAATCAGCGGTATGGTTGTGATTTTTGTTGCATGTTGATTCCGTTATTCAATTTAAAAATTAATGAACAGAAGTTTGCGTTGTGTTATGAAGTTTTTCTGTGTGCATTTTATGTGTTCGGCTTGTGCGTTGGGTCACAAATAGGTTGACCAGTTTTCAGGCCAAATATCTCTTATTTGGACTGTCAACTAGAATTGAGGCAAACTTTTACCATATTTTTATAGCTTGGTTTTTGTTTTTTTACGTAAAGCAATTTTGGTATGTGTATTTTAATTGTAACATGTTATGATCTATTAACGGTTGGTGTTGTTATTTTATATATTTATTTGGTGTTTTTGTAAGACTATCAAATTAGAGTTTCTATACATTTTTTATTTTACAAATATAAATAGTTAAAATCCACAATCAAACCTTAAAATTTTAAACTTTCTATACAAATTTGTTCCTTCTGTCTAAACATACAAACTTTTCCTCTAATCCTATCAAGTTTTACAATAAGTTCTGTAAATTTCAAAAATATAATACTCATATACTTTTTATGTTCACACACACACACACTAAAACTTCAATAGACAATCAATCACGATGTATCATATTAAATATTATTTTTACCATTGAAAATAACATTATTATTTTTATCAGTTTAGACACCCAAAGTGTACGCTTCACTTCTCGGTCACTATGCCTTTTGAAAATAAAATTATTATTTTTACAATCAATCGCTATGCTCTGGCACTTCTTCGAACTGAGAAGTACGTGTCACTTCTCGGTCAATGACAAAATCTTAGAAAATATTTTTGGAAAGTTGGCTTAACTTAGCCTGTAAGGCCATTAGTTTCATTCCAAAGTTAGTACAAATCATAACTACTATTTCCAAATGCTTATCTACCAAGAAGTACATCATGCTAAAGAGTGTCTAGAACTATAGCTATCAATTTTATGTCTTAAAGGACAAGTAAAATAAACCAAATGCAAAAATAATTAGCACAAAACAAACAATTCTAAACCTAAAGTCTCATCATTTACCAATATTACAAGTTCTTGTCATTTTGAAGTTTGTTTGTTTTTTTTTATATGAATGTTAATAAACTTAAATTTGAAAGTTAAACTTGTTTACCAAAGTATGTAAAAAAAAAATAATTTTATTTTAACTATAAAAATAATATTTAATGTAATATATAGTGATTGATTGTCTTTTGAAGTTTTAATATGATATGATATGATATATATATATATATATATATATATATATATATATATATATATATATATATATATATATATATATATATATATATATATATATATATATATAAAGATAAAAGTAAAAAGTAAAAAGTATATGAGTATTTATGAATGTTACGAAATTTATTGTAAAACTTGATAGGGATAGGGGAAAAATTTGTACGTTTAGACAAAAGGAAAAAAATTGTAGAGAACGTTTAAAATTTTGAGATTTGATTGTGGATTTTAACTATTTATATTTGTAAGAAAAAAAATGTATAGAAATTTTAATTTGATAGTGTTAAAAAAATTGAAATAAATAAATTAGTTTTTCTCAAAATGATCCCTCGACTATTCCCAAAATGGTCCCTCGACTATTTTTCAGAGTATATTAGGCATATAATAGGTGAATAAACGAAAATGCCCTTCATTTTAACACTCAATAGATGGAATTTCTAACGGAGGACCAATTTGGGGAAGTTTTTAAAAGTCAAGGGATCACATTGAGTGCAATTAAAAGTCAAAATGCAAAATTGAGAATAAGCGATAGTCGAGGGATCATTTTGGGAAAAAACTCTCTCTCTCTCTCTCTCTCTCTCTCTCTCTATATATATATATATATATATATATATATATATATATATATATACTAATTTATTTATTATAATATTTATTCGGGGACGGGGCGGGACGGGGAGTGGTATACCTGTCCCTGTCCTTGACGGGGAATTACATAATTCCCAATCCCTGTCCCCGTTTCCCGAAAATTTTCCAAATCCCCGTCCCCATTGGGACGGGGATCGGGGACGTGGCACATTGCCATCCCTAGGCGGGACGCATCTAACAAGGTAGAGTCCGGGGTGTTTGCCATACGTCATATGGAATCGTACATCGGACAAGATTGCAGTGAGTGGGAGTGTGGGTTGTACAAAGGGGATGGCCAACAGATCAAAAACCTTCACAAGCTTTTTATGCGCCAGAAGGGAACCATTGCCGCTCATAGCCCGACCATGAGATGTCCTTACGCCGTACTTAGTCCCATGTATGGAACTCAACAATAATAAGACACACAGCTGTATTGTTTACGTCTAGATGAGCTTAGATTGTTACACATTGCCTGTCACGGGTGGATTTAGCCATTTTGGTTTGTACACCGCAGATTCGGACTTGTATACCCTGTTCGTTAGAGTTGAGCAACCACACAAAATGCTACAGTGGTTTTTTTTTTTTTTTTTTTTTTTTTTTTTTTTTTTTTTGAAATTTTAATTACAATAAAGCAGTGTGATTGGATAATTAAACTGAGTGCAAATAAGTTCTATATTACTACTTTCCATGTGTTTCACTTTGTTTGCCAAACTGGGTATTACGTTGGGCTAAAAGGGGGCGAAAAAACTAGCAGCCTATATGGTCATCATGGGAGCGTTATGCCATGGAACTGTGTTCACCATTCATAGTGAACACGGTTCCAACGGTGTTAGTACACCGTTATCTTTTTTTTTTTTTTCTTAATTAATTGCGTGACTTTTCTTCTTCATTTTCACATTTTGCGGTTTCACTTTAATTTGAGGTGAACAATGATTTCGGACATTCATAAATTATGAATTAATGCCTGCACATTCACTTTGGAACCATGCCTACACATTCACTTTGGAACCATGCCTACACATTCCTGTCCGAAATCACGGACATTCATAAATTATGAATCCATGCCTGCACATTCACTTTGGAACCATGCCTACACATTCACTTTGGAACCATGAGATTATGAATTTTCTGTTATGCGATTATGAATTTTCTGTTATGCGATTATGAATTTTCTGAAAATTCATAATCTCATAACAGAAAATTCATAATTTGATCAACGCGCGCCGTTAACTCCATATTCGCGAAATATATATATATATATATATATATATATATATATATATATATATATATATATTTTTGCCTAAAAACGACGTCGTTTGGCCTTGTGTTCACCATTCACGGTGAACACGTTTCCAGGGCATAATTTGCCGTCATCATGTGAAAAAAAAAGAGAAGGGTAAGGTGGGAATAGTTTCACCACCTGGGCGAGCTATACAGATTGACAAAGGATAAAG